ACACACACACACACACACACACGCACACACACACACACACACACTCGCACACACACTCGCAAACACACTCGCACACACACACACACACACACACACACACACACACACACACGCACACACACACTCGCACACACACACACACACACACACACACACACACACACACTCGCACACACTCGCACACACACACACACACGCACACACACGCATGCACGCATGCACGCACACGCACACACTCCTGCAGATCTTGACACACACCAGAAAGCCGTCGTCCTCCTGCAGACTCTGCATGTCGAGAGCAGAAACATCCTCCGTCTTCACTGGCGACAGCAGCTCGTTGACCACACACGACTCCGACAGCAGCATCTGAGAGCTCCACTCGTCTGAACACACACACACACACACACACATATATATACACACATACACACAGAGAGAGAGACACATTTATAGTCTCTCACACACACATACAGACACACACACATGCACGCAGACACACACAGACGGACACAAACAGATATACAGACAGCAGGCGCACACACACAGAGACAGGTTAGTCATCCATGACTTCATGCTTAGTTAATTATCAGCACTGAGTGGAATGTGAATGATTTGAACAGTAGCCAGTGTCTGTGATGGTGTTAGTCTGCTCTGTATTCCCGCACAGCTGCTGTGACTCCGTCTGCACTCTAGAGAAGAACTGAAGATGTGCTGCAGACACTCACCCAGCTGTATGGAGATCACGTCCACATGTGGTGGGTGTGGCTCTGCACTGGCCCCACCCACACCGCTGATGTCATACACCACCTGATAGACGGGCAGCTGTGATGCGGAGCTGCTGGTGTGTTCGTGGGCCCCGTCTGAGCTCTGGTCCTCAGACACACCGCTGTCGCTCTCACACACCGCAGACACGTACATCTGGTTTGGGTTTATGGCGTTCAGGACTTCCTCAGACTCGCTGTCATTCAGACTCTGAACACACACACACATCAACATATACATATAAATGGCCCAATACTGCACAACATTACTGTTTACACTCTTCCGTCTCATAATCCTGAATTACAACAAGCTCCGCTCCATATTCAACCATATCTGCTCTCTGATTGGTGTTTACTGGTATACGGGGTGGAGTCAAGCTGTCACTCATGTGAGATCCACCATAAGCAAACAGAAATAAACACAAGCCCCGCCTACATTTGATTGTTTTTATGATGACTTTAAAGCAAGGGTGTCCCACTGCCGGCCCACAAGATTTAACCCCTCGATATATTAGGGTTGCATGGTTTACCGGTACTATGGTATTATCGAGAAACTATTGCTCCAAAAGACTGGCGGTGCACTGTAGTTTGTGATTGATAGTATCATCATTAACAGTCTATCTACAGTAGATAATGTTGCGTGTGGAAAAGTCACTAAAATGCTCACTCGTTTGTGCAACAATAGACTATTTTATTTTAATAGTCTGTGGAGCCCTTTAAGGTTGCAAACCATGTAGAATTCACACCTTTTGTGGTAGAAATACCATATATTGCATGTTTAAATATGCATATAAATATTGCATATTAGCTGACGCTTCAGATCCAAACATAATCAGTTCATTTCTGCTGCTGTCAATATGATTTAGTGGCTACAACACCTGCAACAACTCTTAAAAAAGAGCAACTCACTAAGTCAAATGTTTATCTGACAATCCATACTAGAAACTTTTTGACCACTGCATAACTCCTTATTTGGTTGGGAAACGGCTATTTTTATTATTAATGCCAATATCATTTGGTAAAGTTTGTATTTTTATTTTTAATGTATTTTTGTTGGTCAGATATTTACAAAACAAACAAAAAGAACGAATACATTTTAGGTGAAGTGACGAGCAAATACTTTTTTAATAATAAAGCGAATCATTAATTTAATTAAAGTAGACCTATTATATAAAAGACAGTATTTCTGACTATTTTCTTTATTTCATGGATTGAGTTATGAATTACAGTATCACACTGCTACTTGGTTTCACAATATTACATGAATTAATGGAATCACGACAACCCTACAATATATATAATTTTAATTACTATTATTACGGCGACGCAGAGACGCAGTAGGTAGTGCTGTCGCCTCACAGCAAGAAGGTCTCTGGTTTGAGCATCGGCTGGGTCAGTGGGATTTTCTGTGTGAGTTTGCATGTTCTCCCTGCGTTTGCATAGGTTTCCTCTGGGTGCTCCAGTTTCCCCCACAGTCCAAACACATGCGCTACAGGTGAATTGTCCTTAGTGTATGTGTGTGAATGAGTGTGTTTGATGTTTCCCAGAGATGGGTTGCAGCTGGAAGGGCATCCTCTGCGTAAAACATATGCTGGATAAGTTGGCGGTTCATTCCACTGTGGTGACCCTGGATTAATAAAGGGACTAAGCCGAAAAGAAAATGAATGAATTATATATATATATGTGTGTGTGTGTGGTTTAGTTTTATTTCGGTTTCTTTCAGTGTATATGCAATCAACAGTAACACTAATGCAGATTATTTCTGTGGATGATTTAGGCATTGAAACTTTGGGAATATACATCTGTATAGATCTGCTTAACTAAAGCTCAATTTTTCTAAATAATTAAGTGTCATTTGATAATTATCGGTTTAATGCAGACTGAATTTTGTTGATCAAACACTTCTTCATGACTTACCTGCTATGCTATTGCTGTAACAAATATTAAATTTTGCTAATATTTAATTTAAATTGTCTCATTTAATGACTATATTGCATAATTTAAAAAGGGGGCGTCACGGTGGCACAGTGGGGAGCATGATCGCCTCACAGCAAGAAGGTCGCTGGTTTGAGTCTCGGCTGGGTCAGTTGGTGTTTCTGTGTGGAGTTTGCATGTTCTCCCTGTGTTGGCGTGGGTTTCCTCCGGGTGCTCCGGTTTCCCCCACAGTCCAAACACATGCGCTATAGGGGAACTGATCAACTACACTGGCCGTAGTGTATGAGTGTGAATGCAAGAGTGTATGAGTGTTTAGTATTGGGTTGCAGCTGGAAGGGCATCCGCTGTGTAAAACATATGCTGGATAAGTTGGCAGTTCATTCCACTGTGGTGACCCCTGATGAATAAATGGACTAAGCCGACAAGAAAATGAATGACTGATGTTAAAACAGTTCGACCTTTTTGCAAACTGTGTCATGTCAACCATGACTGCTGCTAATTCACGTGTGTCTGTGTGTGTGTGTGTGTGTGTGTGTGTGTGTGTGTGTGTGTGTGTGTGTGTGTGTTCACAGTGCTGAACATGTGTAGTTTCAGTTGAGCTGCAGCAATGCACTCCAGAAAAGCAGTAATGACTGACGCAGTGTGGCTGCAGGCTCCAGTCCTCCGTGTGTTTCTCCAGATCTGCAAACAGGAGACCGGGACAGGACTGATCCAGGAGCAGTTCAGACGCCACAACCTCCTCCACAAACCCATCCTTCAACACACACAATACACAAAAACATCAGCTCATTCCTACAACACACAACAACAACGGCTCTCATTCGCTGATAATGGTGTAAGATTGTCATATTTATACACACATGTGAACTTCTTTATATCAAGGCAAATTAATTCATACAAACTGACAAATGCTGTACACCACCTGACACTAGTCTTGCTGCCTCTCCCAGTTGTAGGAACACAGATAATATCTGCTCTTCTAGTTGCTGATCTGGTGTCAGAAGTGTCTCTATGAAAGGTGAAGGCCTCTAGATTTTGCTGATTTGAGCTCAATAAATCTGATCATGTCTTGATGTTGACTGATTTGATGAGGACAGTGCGGTCTGACTCTGCTCAGACTAAAGTGTCATCACTGAACAGAAATAATGTCCAGTATAGAATATAAAGTCCTGCTGCAGTGGAGACAGAATGAAGATTGTGTCTGACTCCATCATGAGCTTGGAGGACTGCATCCATACATCTCTGACATGACTCACATCACTGATTAATAAAGTCATCTGGAATGAAGAAGAAAGCTTCAGCAGGATCCCAGAGTTCATCAAGAGTCTTTGTGTTCATCTTCAACACCTCCTCCTTCATCAGCTCAATAATGTTGATGTCTGGTGACTGGGCTGGCCAATCCTGGAGCACTCTCTGCTTTCAGGAGCTTTGATGTGGAGGCTGAAGTATGAGCAGGAGCGCTATCCTGCTGGAGAATTGTCCCTCTGTTGTGGTTTGTAATGTAATGGGCAGCACAGATGTCTTGATACCTCAGGCTGTTGATGTTGCAGATCTCTCCATACTGAATGAACCCAAACCATGACGTCTCCTTCACCAAACTTGACTGATTTCTGTCAGAATCTTGGTCCATGCTGGTTCCAGTAGGTCTTCTGCAGTATTGGTGATGATTGGGATGCAGATCAGCAGATGATCCAGCAGAGAAATCCACCTTCTGACACTTTCACACATCATCAACTAGAAGACCAGATATTATCTGCTGCTCTCACAGCCGGGATTGACTTTTGTCAGGGAGTGTACAGCTATTATTATATATAACGACAATATGTGCAAATTAAAACATAAACTTGTTTAAAGCTGTTAAACAAATAAGAGCATGTGTGTGTGTGTGTGTGTGTGTGTGTGTGTGTGTGTGTGTGTGTGTGTGTGTGTGTGTGTGTGAATAGTGCTGTTGAGGACATTTAAAAATTCCCAAAATCCCCAAATTGACTATTGCATGAAAAAGTGGCTTACAATTTTCTTTAGTTATAGTGTGTGATAGATGTCAATTTAAGCAGTTTATCTGCTAGATCAAGTGCAGAAGAGGTACACAAACTGTCTGAGTGCGAGTGAAATATGAGTAGGAGATCAGACTCCACCTGTGTGTGTGTGTGTGTGTGTGTGTGTGTGTGTGTGTGTGTGTGTGTGTGTGTTGGAGGATGTGAATATCCTGGTGTGGGTTGGGCTTTTTTACATGCAGGAATGAGAAACCTTTGACTCCTTTTCACTCAACTCCCCCAAATAACTGATATTCAGAGTCCGTCACGTCAGATTTGTTCAGATTTTCGTGGTGTTTTGCATTATATAACACATGCAGTTAGAATATGTGCTATTAAACGGGTGTAAATACAAATTAAAACAGATTACAACACACAAATACAGTTGATCCGCGCGTGTGTGTGTTTGTGTGTGTGTGCGTTTGTGTGTGTGTGTGTGCCAGGTGAAGCTGGGCTGTCAATCATAGTAAACAAAGCGCGTTTTCAGTGTTTTCCGCAGGTTTTACTCACTCTCTCGGTTGATTTGGCGTCCCCGGACCCAAACTCGCCCTTTTGCATTCTCCACACACGCGGTTCGGTTTATCCTGGGAGAAAACACGGATATTTTCACTCGCTGATCCGGATCTTCTGGCTCTTCTTCTTCTTCTTCTTCTTTTGGTTTTACTGGCGGTTGGCAACCAGACTTATAGGTGCATTACCGCCACCGACTGGAATGGAGTATGGAACTAGTTGAATACTTTCTGAAGTGTATAAATTACATGAAGGGAGAGAAAGGGGGAGGAAATTTTGAGGGGAGGGGGAGAGAGGAAAGAAAAAAAAAAAAAAAAAAAAAAAACCCTTTATAATAGTAATAAAATGTAATAAAAATGGGGTGGACTAACAATTCTTCTGATATTATCTCTATATTCTTTCCTCTAACTGGGTTTCTTTAATAAATTTTATTATATCATTATATACCTCACTAGATTTGTTTCCTAATAAACCTGCCAATGTAAATGCTGAAGATTGCTCTTTTTAACTGACTGAATAAGATCGTTTCGTTCTTTATTATAATTACTACAGTGAAATAAAATATGTTCTATTGTTTCTTGTTGATTACAATGTATACATTGCCCAGTTGGGTGTTTCCCTATTTTATGTAATGTATGATTGAGTCCAGTGTGACCTATTCTCATCCGAGTTATAATACTTCCTTCCCTACGATTTCTGTTCTCCTTCCTCCCAGTTCCAACTTGTTTCTGTATATTATATAAATGTCTACCTG